TAGAGAGTGCTTAGTTTACTATCAAGTGGTATCAAAATGTAAAGTGCTGCTAAAGTGTTTATATCAGGGGTCAGCAAACTACAGCCCGCAGGCCAAACCTGGCCGCTCGAGGCCTTTGAACCAGCCCATGGCCAGTCCTGCCACCACCGTAGCCACCCTGTGCGCGCCGCCGCCTTTCTAGTGCACGCGCACCGCTAGGTGCCATTTTGTGTTCTAAAATGGCGCCCGCGCTCACACATGCATGCACATGATGCCGGGCGCCATTTTGGAACACAAAACAGCACCAGCATCGTGCGCATGCGCTCATGATGCATGGCATTGTTTTGCGTTCCAAAATGGTGCCTGCCGTCATGTGCATGCGTGCGTGAGCGCAGGTGCCATTTTGGAACACAAAATGGTGCCCCCATGCTCACGCACGCATCTGCACAATGCTGGGAGTAGTGTAGATGTGTGCACATGCGCACACCTCTGGCACCATTTCCCCCCACCTTCAGCCCGTCGACAATCAGTGGACAGCAGAACCCCCCCCCCCAAAAAAAAGGTATGCCGACCCCTGGTTTATATAATCAGAAAAAGCATGCTGTATGCCTCTTCGATATACTAAATGTAGTTTGGGGTGAGATTGAGGTGAAGCTCACACTTTTTTTAAAATTGCTTTTAAAAATATTGTTCCCACACTTCCAAACACACACACCCAAACTTGGCATATTAGCTTTCCATACAGAAGAAGGGTTTTTATATTGGGGAATTATTGAAGTATATGATTTGGGGTGTAGGAGCTGTGTCAAAGCTAAGGGTACAGACACAACACAACAGGAATGCAAGTGAATAACTATTGTGTTATTTAAAAAAGCTGCTGCTGCTTATCCTCCTTCTCCTTTTTTACAAATATCACCAGATAAATAGGGTGGGCACTGCGAGAGGTTGAGAACCTGTAGGACCTTGGAGGGTTGCACTCCTGGACTGTCACTCTTTCCATTTCTTCCAAATTGGAGGGCACCTGAAATTAATTTTAACCCCAAAATAGCAAATAGCACACTAAAGCCTTGGCTGGGAGGGTTCCATTAGCCATTTTGCCCCATTTTCAGATGTTTCTTCATTGTTTGTTTTTGTTTTGTTTTGTTTTGTTTTAAAAAGAGCCTGGGCAGATCTTTTTTCAATCCAGAAAGTGAACACACTTCCTGTTCTGGCTACTTTTTGTTCTCAACAAAAGACCTCTATAAGCCTAGAGGATAGACTCCACAAGCCTTTAAAAAGGCAAAGCCCCCAAACAAGGTAAAATAAATCAGATTATCTTTGTAGCTGAAGACATCGGGCCATTGCAGGCTGCCAGAAATAGTGCAAATTGAGCCCACTTTTAGGGTTAGGGAATCATGGGAACTGTATTTTATTGTGGCACCAGAGCTCTCTGACAGAGAAGGCTCAATGTCTCAGAAAAAACAACAATTCCCATGATTCCCTAGCACTAACCCTAATCCTTAAAGTGGACTCAATTTTCACTATTTCTGGCAGTCTGCAAAGGCATTGGCCATTTGAGGGCACCCCAACCTGCAATTTGGGAAGACACTGAGATACTTAGGGGCATACAATTTCTTTTGGTTGCATGTGGCCCATAAGCCACAATTTGCTCACCTCCAAGTCCAGTTGTTACTTCCAGTAGAGTAAACCCATTAGATCAATGGAACTTAAATAAATATTGACTTACACCCATTGATTCAAGGATTCTTCTCTAGGTAGTTCTACTAACTATTTCTGTCATCATAAACAATTTTAAAGAAATATTTAAAGATAAATACTCTCTATTGTGTTTATTTTCCATTCTTAAAAATAAGAGAGGAAAAGTTAGAAAACAAATTCAATATTTTTAAAAAATAATAAAATTAGGGTGCTCAAAGAACCAAGAATTTTCTTCAGGCTACTTGTAGCCTGAACAGAACAGTGTTGTAGATTAACACCTACATTTAGAAGGCCTGCAAGCAGTTGCTCTTTTATTGCTTCCCTAAACAAACCCATTTCCTACAAATTATTCCCATATCTTTTGCACCACAGCCAACTTCCCAGAAAAACAGCAGGAAAACAAAGTGTGAACTCCAAGCAACCCACTTCCACAGAACAATGCAATGTACCAAGAAGAAAGAACCTGCTGTTTTGGTTTTGCCAAGAGACTTGAAGTGAGGGGGAGGAGGAAAGAGGAACTTTAAAAGTAAAATGGGAAGAGTTGTGTAACTGTAGCTATACAGTAGGCATGTTGTGAATGATTTCAAAGGCTTTGAGGTTTTAAAATCACCCAGAAGCCCAACCGAAGCACACCAAGGCTTTTGAGCTTCCAGGAACACCACTGGGCTAGAAACCAGTAAAATTCTCTGGGTGATAAACAGCTTGGCTTTAGTGTAATGAATGCAGTTTGTACATTAACAGTCCAAAGGAGTGGGAGGAGGGAAGAGAAACTGATAAAATCTTCTAGATTTCTAGATTCTGATAATGATTATGGTAGCTATTTTATTTTATTTTATTTTTATTTATTTATTACAGAGGTAGGCAACCTAAGGC